TGTGCTGTGTGTGTGTGTCAGTGTGTTTGTGTGTGTGGTGTGTGTGTGTGCACGTGTGTGTGTGTGTCAGTGTGTGTGTGTGGTGTGTGTGTGTGCAAGTGTGTGTCAGTGTGTGTGTGTGTGTGTGTGCCGTGTGTGTGCACATGTGTGTGTGTGTGTGTGTGTGTGTGTGAGTGTGTGTGTGTGTGGTGTGTGTGTGCACGTGTGTGCTGTGTGTGTGTCAGTGTGTTTGTGTGTACATGTGTGGTGTGTGTGTGTGCACGTGTGTGTGTGTGTCAGTGTGTGTGTGTGTCAGTGTGTGTGTGTGTCAGTGTGTGTGTGTGCATGTGTGTGTGCACGTGTGTGTGTGTGTATGTGTGTGTGTGTGTGTGCATGTGTGTGTGTGCACGTGTGTGTGTGTGTATGTGTGTGTGTGTGCACGTGTGTGTGTGTGTGTGTTTTATTAGTATAGAGGAGGAGGGCCTACATGTAGTATAAGCTATACTGACACCTTTTCCCTCCTCTTCACCTGTTTGTATTGTTAACTGTACTAATATGTACTTTCTTGTTGTGCAAGTAAACAAAGAAACAAACAGACAAACAGTTAGTAAAACACCAATGGAGACTGGCATGGCATCTGCCTCACTAACTCCCCAGCCTTTTTTTCTAGCACCCTTTTCTTGGTTGCTAATTCTGTCTCTGCCATTACTGTTGGCATTTCAGAGGTTGATGACAAAGTCAGTGCTGCATGAAATGTGCCAGCTGCTAGTCTTTATTTACAAGTTCAGAAGAACAGTTCCTATTTCAGGGTTGAGCAGGCACTTGATGATGCTGTAAACTTCCCTCCTGCAACCATGAAATCTGATAAGGTCCTTTTGGATCTGTTGGTTTATCTTTCCAAGTGTGTAATTTGTGGTCTGCCCCTGGCAATGTGAGGTTTCCACAAGGTTTAAAGGCATCCAATTCAGTTTCAGGGCAAAATATTCTGGATGAGGAAATTTGTCTGATATTGTCATTAACTGCCATTTCTTAGCACATTTGATACATAATAGATAGCCCCAAAACAAGTTACATGAGACTTCTGTTTATTTTTTGGGTATGGCCCATAAATAGCTAGAACCAGCCTACAAGTACAACACTTAACAAGCAACCATTTTCTGTCAGTGACGTCACACTTTTGCCTCACAGATAGCAGTATGCTATGGAATACATTGGATTTGATTCAAATTACAACATTAAAAGAATGACCAGAAAACTGCCTTGAAAATCCGTCCTGAAATTGCATTGGATGCCAAAAGGCAAAAAGTCTGGAGAATGAGTGGACAGCAAAGGGACAGTGATTAATAGGGTTTCTGCCGAGTCCAAACGAGGATCTCTAAATGCAAATTACATGTTTTGTAGTAGTAGGATCTTATTCTACATGTTCTAGTTAAAAATTTAGAGACGCTCCTTTGTACTGAACAGAAACCCCATTTATCACTGTAGGAGAAAATCTACATCAATCTGTTCTGCAGGAAATAATAGACTGTGTACATGAAGGGAATAGTGGAATGACCTTTCCCAAAAGTTCATTTCCAGGCACTGTTAACAAAAGCAATTTTGTGACCTTGCAATAAAGCAAGGAAAAAACAACAGATAGTATACATTTGTATATGACACCAGAATTCCTATCACCCTGAATGTAGTGTTACTTGTACCTCTCACTACTGTGACAATTCCAGTATTAACTGGCTGTAAAATTGAAAGGGCTTTTAAGTGGGTGTGACAGAGAAAAATGTTTCAAAAGGCAGCTGTCCCTTTTACTCATTCAAGTGTAGAAAATGGGTACCATCACCCTGGTCACCAGTTACTAGACAAAATGCAGGATGAGATCATTTCTGACACAGGATATAACACACTGATGTGGTGATGGCCTCAAATGGCATTTAAGATACAGTAAGATAAATTACCAGTCAATAGATAAGAGATTTGTTGATACGTTTCAAGTAAGCAGTCCATGGTTATTACCTCCGGGGGAGGAGACACAGGGCTCGAAATACTTTTTTCAGCCAGGTGGCGCATGTTGCCACCTGAGTCAAAAGCCAGGTGGCGCCATCAGTATTTAAGTGGCAACACTTCCAAGTTATCATTTTCTTCAAATCTGCTACTTATACCTATTACGTTTTCTTCTAGTTAACTTCTTAAGTTTTATGTTATAAAATAAAGTAATGTAAAGAACACAAAAGCTCTCAAACAACAATGTTTTAATAAAGAATGCCACCTTTACATCACTTCATCACAGGGCTGCCGCCGTTGGAATGCCACGCCTCTACATGGCGGCACACTTATGCGGGTGGTGTTACGTGCGCCATGTTCTTCGTTTGCGCAAGGATAATGTTACTCTCATCTGCCAAATAAACACTTTTCCCTCGGAATAAACATACCCCCCGGACAAATCTTCAAAATCTAATAAAAAATGGTATTAGCTCCCTTGATTTAAAAAAAAATTGGGCATAGGTTCCCCGGATGACCCCTAACCGGGGGCCAACGGTGCTTCCACAAGTTCAACAAGTGAAAAATACATGATACAAATTGTACATGTACTTATTACCTGGAACTTGGAGCAAGTATTCCTAAGGTGTTACGGACATAATTAATATATACCAAACTTTTTAACCCAATCATATTTCCCAAACAAAATCACATATTGACACAGCTGAACAAATAGAAATGTGATTATGTCTATAAACTCATACTAAAAAAAAAAAAATTTAGAGACACTCAATAAAGAAAGTAAGAAAGAAAGAAAGCATGCTCTTAATATCTGATTCTCCCAATTGTAAAAGCCTCCACAGCATCCAACCGCACATTCATAGAAACAACATTATATTCTGACACTAGAAACCAATAAATTCGGAAAGTTTCACGGTAATGTTTACAAATTAACCTTTTAAAAATACGAGTGAATTTTTATTTCTGTCGTTGCCGAAAAAATTTTTTTCATGCGTGTAATACTAGTACATGTATCTTGGACGCTTGGATGCTATCTTCACCTTTGACCACATTGTTGGAAGCAGCGTCGGCCATTTTCATTCTGTCTTTCGAGCTGTTTTTTCTGACAAATTTCAACCGTTTTAACATTTTACGGCCTCAGAAACTCATATAACGACGAAAACAAGTTGTAGTTGTTATTTTCATGCGTAAAATTTCTTCTGGGGATGGATTATTTTCCCGCCGAGCCGCCGAAAACTTAGCGTCGCATGCGGTCGGTCGGGCGGCCGGGCGGCAGGATTTTGTATCGCCTATCGGCGCGCTTTGCATGTAAACAAGGACAGTCGGAGTTGTTTACATGAAAATTGTGTTGTGAAACGCCAGCGAGGTGTCTGATTTTCTACCAATGAGAACGTTTTCTTTGTGGCGTCATGGCGAGATCGACAATTCATCGACAATTCACAAGATTGTGCCGACAATGGGGCCCGATCCATGCGATTAGCGGCTCGATCCACGCAAATTATAGGTGGCGCGCTGCGCCACCTGAGTGTAGGAATAAGTGGCGCCAAGCAAAATCAGGTGGCGCCGCGCCAGTGCGCCACCGGGTATTTCGAGCCCTGAGACATCCTTCCGCGGAAGGGTTTTGTGAGAGATTTAGATTTTCATGTTCGCAGCTGTTTCTCGCGTTTGGGTGGACGGATTCTTTTGAGACTCGGTATATGTTTTGCTATTGGGCTGCAGATGATGCACGCTCTTTCGTTTTTATTGTATATGTGTTTTCGGGCGTGAAAATAGTGCCTTTTGGTGCCCCCAAAACACCCCTTTAAGCGTGAAAGTGGTCGCGACCGTTGACCTTTGGCGTGTTTAGGCTATTCTCGGTCTGGTCCACGTATATGACCCCTCACACAGAGGGGTGTCCTGTCTCGATAAATTCTTTGTTTAAAACCCTATATAAAAATATACAATAAAAGCCCGGAGGTATAAAATCTCAGATTTTACTTGTTGGATTCTGTTAACTGCTTTGATTTTGGTAGTTACTGTTAAACTTTATTTCATCAGTGAGAGGAATGTCTGGTCTTGTTAGTTGTTGATGATAAATCAAACCAAATATTTTTCTTTCTTTGGGCTGCAGTACTCACATGAATTGTAAGGAGGCACTGCTGACACAGCCAAAGCACATGTTTGTTGCATACATCATGACATGCAGGGCAGAGAGTACCTTACACCATGCATAGAAGCCTATAGTTAAATACGCTACAACAAATCCCAATGAAACAACTTTGTCATATTTCAATCTCGAAAATTTTTCTGCACCAGAGAGCCACAAGGGTCTTCTTCCCAAATATACAGTAGAAATAAAACGGGGTTGACCAGCTCAAACTCTGACAACAGCTGACAACAGTAAACAACCCATACTTTTGACCCAATTTTCCCATGTATCCATCCGCCCTCAACAGGCAAGACCTGAGTCACTCAGGTCTCTCTTTGCCCACTAAACTGTTGAAATGAACAAAATTTGACCAAACTAGGAAACTTTAGACCCTACGTATACCTGTTCCTTCTAGCCCAAAAGTCTTCAAACTGTAAGTTCCGAATACATTTGGCCAGATGGTAGCCTTCAAGTACAATTCATTCACAGCGAGCTTTCTAAATCATCTCCATTTTATTTCCAGATATGAGTTGTTTCTGCAGTTGAAAAGAGACCTCCTACATGGCAGACTGCTATGTAGCACAGAGGATGCTGCCCACTTAGGGGCCTACATTATCCAAGGTATGACTGTGGTCTAAAAGACTATCTTTGTGTGGCTCAAAGTGTACATTTACACTTATGCTGAGATGTATTACAAGACATGCATGTTCAGTGTGGATCTGAACTGATGACCATATTCAATCTCAGCAAATTCAAGTATAGTCTAAGACTTCCACCCATGGGACAGAGGACAAGTGGTCTTCTTATACAAAAAGCTTGGTGACAAGACAAGACACAGTAGACTGCCCCAAAGACCAAAAGTGACCCAGTCTGCACCATTTTACTTTGTGCAAAGACTGTCATGCTGTCAAAATCAATGGCAAAGTGGCCTATTCCATCAAGGTTTCTCACTAGTCAACATATAGGCAGAGATTGGGCCATGTGTGGTTCCAAATAGGGCTGTTCACGGTTCAGGGTCACGTTGGACATGTGGTTGGTGTAGGCAAGTCTCTTAATGCTTACATTTATTGGCTGGAGGATCAAGACTGGAAAAAGCAGTCGTTCTTGCCAGATGATAGAGATGGTCACTTGGGCAAGTTACAGTTTATCTTTTACTCAGTGAAGTAAAAAAATCAAATATCTCCCATTGTTGTTTGATGTACATGTATGTAATGTTCTTTGCATGATAAAGTGGTCCTGTATGTTGGTTTCTCCAGCTGAGCTTGGAGACTATGATCAGGATGATCACCCACAAGGGTACGTGTCAGAGTTCAAGTTGTTTGCCAAGCAGTCAGCCAAGCTGGAACAGAAGGTAGCCGAGCTACACAGAGACCATACCAGGTAGACTATGCCTTCTTCTCATTAAATCAGATCAACAAAACATGTCAGATCACCCTAGATACAAATGTATGCTTAAAAAGGTTCGGACTTTCACCTTTACCACACTGAAGTGGTCATTTGACTACAAATGATCCTTCATTATGAATGATATCTGTTTGTTCTAATACATGTAACTACAATGTAGTATGTAATATCCAAAAATTCAAAAGACTCCTGGCTTTATTCCACAGACCTGAGCAAGGAGGTACAGTTAAATGTATTTCAATGACAGATATATCAGTAAGTCTTTAGTCAAGATGACGAGATTAACAGATCAGCACCAAGGACAGCTCCATTGATATACACATTCAAGATGTAGTAAGTAAAAAAAACATCTCTTTTAAACAGCCATAGACAAGAACATTTAATCCATATTTGCATGGCAGATAGTCAGGAGTCTTTAGTCAAGGTGACAAGATAACAAATCAGCACCAAGGACAGCTCCATTGACATACACATGATGCATTTATCCCCCCGGGGAATGAACATGCAATAAAATTTCATACTTCCATTAATTTTGAGGTTAGGTATGTAGTAAATTGGATACTGCATTTTGTTATGAACCCACTGTGAACCATAGCAAATTGTGCCTCATTGTGCCAGATTTTCAACTGGATCTCTCTATGTTAGCCATGGTTTATTTTCTGAAGTACAAATCATAGCTACCTTGTTCCAATTGTCAGTGTTTTCTTACTATAACAGCTGTTTAAATACTTCCCAACCATTATTTGGTAGACACTCACATTGTAGCAAATTGTTCCTCAGTGTGCCAGACATTCAAATGGTTCTCTTTATGTTAGCCATGGTTTGTTTTCAGAAGTACAAATCATAGCTACAAAGCAGTTGTTTCCACATCTGGTTTCACAATGGATAGTTCCTGAGCAGAAAGAAAAATGCATTTCTGTATATTATGGCTTTGATATGATACATGTACAACGATACACATGCTATCTGTGACTAAGTAGTTAACCAGTGGGCTTACCTGTTTATGATGATTCAGATTGACCTTGTCAATTCAGATTGACCTTGTCAATCCTCCCGTATAAGGGGATGCGTGTTATGAACCCACTGTGAACCATTTGTCCCCTACCTGTAACACCCCCCCCCCCCGCTGTCTTAGAAGTAGAGCAATCCTGTTACAAAACCCCCTATCTTAAAAGTAGAGCAGTCCAACCCAGTCACCTGACTCTGGTGCTTGGAGTCCTGGGGGCAAGACAATTAAGTATGAAGCTCTTTGAAAGTCCAGTGCGCGACCAGTTTATTACAATATAACAGCAAGAACGTAACACATTTATTACGCACATTATACAGAAAAAAAATACAGAAATGCACTGAAGTTTCTTGTCTATGGCTTTTCAAAAAAGATGTATTGTAGTAGCAGTAGTTGAAATTGTCTTACTACATCATCTGTATATCAATGGAGCTGTCCTTGGTGCTGATTTGTTATCTTGTCACCTTGACTAAAGACTCCTGACTATCTGCCATGCAAATATGGATTAAATGTTCTTGTCTATGGCTGTTTAAAAATAAAGAGATGTTTTTTTTACTTACTACATCTTGAATGTGTATATCAATGGAGCTGTCCTTGGTGCTGATCTGTTAATCTCCTCATCTTGACTAAAGACTTACTGGTATATCTGTCATTGAAATACATTTAACTGTACTTCCTTGCTCAGAACTGTGAAATAAGGCCAGGAGTCTTTTGAATTTTTGGATATTACATACCCAGTGGTCGAAATACTTTTTTTCAGTACTCTGCAATATTGCAGAAGAGTCAAAATTTTGTTCTGCAAATTGGAAATACTTTCTGCAAATACACAAGCCTCCATATTACAACCTTTCTGCAAATACACAAGCCTCCATATTACAACCTTTCTGCAAATACACAAGCCTCCATACTACAACCTTCTCAAACCAATAATTCCTTTTTTACATCATATATAGCTTTGTAAATCTGTACAGTAGCATTACTGGACTGCAGGAGAATTTCAGGTTTGTAAGCATAAACTATGGATTGATATGCAAATTAGTGAAGACAATTTTTTGGAAGTCCAAAAGGAAACAAAAGTTAGACATTGACAAGGATGATGCAAATTAGTGAAGAAGTTCCTGTTGTTTCAGAACAGTCTGTCCCTGGGGCCTGGGAGTTTTAGTTTGCTAAATTGAAAACTAATGAATCTGGAGCCTATTTTTCCTTCTGCAAATGTGCAGATTGTATAATTTTTTCTTCTGCAATCTTGAAAATCTATCTGCAGATTGCAGACTGCAGGCAGGTATTTCGAACACTGCATACCACATTGTAGTTACATGTATTGGAACAAACAGATATCACTCATATCAGGGTTCAAAATACCCACTCTCGCACTCTTGCCACGCAAGAAATGGTTTCTGTGTGAGGCTTATTGGAGACCCCAGGTTGCCCAATGTGAAAGTTACGGCTTCTGAAGTTAACTGTTTCCTGCCTCATCCAGCATGTAAGCATCACGTTTACAGGTGGCCTGGCTTATGGTTTGCTCTCTAAAATACAGAGACGGTATTGACGGCAACCTGAAATATTGACTAGCTTGTGTGGGCAACCTGAGAAAAAAATATTTCAAACCCTAGATATGTATATACTCCTGGGACTGTGTCATTTTAATACTAACATTGTAGTTATGATTATATCCTTAAGGCTTATGTTTCCTGTATATGAAATGTGCTTAGGGGCCAAGCACCAGCAGAAGCAGAGCTGAACTTCCTTAGGAAAGTGAAGGAACTGGAAACATATGGACTGGATCCCCATCCTGTAAAGGTATGGGCATAGTAGCAAATATTACAAAAAATACATATGTAGTCTTGCCATCAAGTTATCAACCAGGGATTGTTGCGTTCAAAAACATTGTTCCTAGAACTATTGTACAGTGGAACTTGCTGTCACTAAGTACAGTTGAGGCATCATCACTAGCTATAGATAGCTTTAAACAATGTTTAGTAGGGTTACATTTGTACATGTGCAAAGGCTAGGTTCAGTGTACAAAATGTAATATATACATGTAGCCAGCTGCTGCCACACCACTGTTATGCTGAGGGGCAGTTATGCTGCCTATACTGATACAGATACAGATATTACAAACTTGAAGATTCCTGTCTCATGAAGTACTTGTAAATGGTTTGTCTGGCTTTTAGACCTTCTAAAAAAACAGGTTGCATTTTTACTTAGATACACCCTGAAGGTACAAAATTAAACTTTGATGATATAATAATAAAGTCATCATATCATAGCAATTGAGCAAATAAAGCATGAAAGCTGGAATATAGAAAGGATTCTCTCATTGCAAAAACCAAAAACCTGCTGTGGTGTTTTGCTGCCACACAAGTATGTACCTCAGCTTGTACAATGTGTTTTTGTGCATTCAGGATGTTCTTGGAAGCCAAATGTACCTGGGGTTCACACATCAAGGGGTGGTCATTTTTCAAGGCAACAAGAAGACACACTTCTTCAAGTGGTAAGTATTGGCCAGGTATTTAAGACAATGTTGCCCTCTAGTCTAATCCAAAGTTTTGATTATTACATGTATGAATGACATCTAGTGAAGATTATGTGAACTACAGGGAAGCAGGCAATGCAGTACACAATGTATCTCCCCAAGCTAAAGCTCCCCTCATGCCACAATACATATAATAATACACATGTAGGTTAATATGGATATTTACCGGTACCTCTGGATGTGGAGGTATTGTTTTCATTGTGTTTGTGTGTGTGTGTTTGCTTGTTTGTCTGAATGCAGTAGAAGGGAAGGGCAGATATAGTAACTGGAGATTGGCAGGACAGTCCACCCGCATACATTGTTACAGTAGTTAGGCCATGTTGATGAAAATGTATTATGGATAACATCAGCGCACGCACAAATTTTCGTCCATTTCCCAAAAAAAGTTTTCAACCATACTGTAAATCGTACAGAGCTGCAAAATATTATTAAGCAAATATATGACGTATAGTGCAAAAAAAATTGGAAAACAATGTTGTAGAATACCAAAATCAGTTCCAAAGGAAACAAGGAAAATCGTAGATTTTGTACCTCCGGGTATTATGTATGTTGCAGAATGTTGGGTGCATGTTGGGACTGTTCTTTAAATTAGTGAATGGTGTCTGGGTGTGTGTGTGTTCACGCGAATACCATTTTTTCCAAAAGTTTCGAAATGTTTGTAAATGGCTAAATGATCTGTGCCCCCAAAATAGAAAGGACAGGGGGCATCCCGTGGCGAATCTGGCTGCCCGACCCTCAGCGACCAGTGATAATGTAAACAAACACCTACACAAACGGCCGCGTGAGAAATCAACTCCAGTGCGCGGAACTTGCTCTCGAAAATTTATCAAGCCGCTACGCTTCCCCCCGTGGCTGCCATCCCTCCCCACACTAGTTCAAATCACGTAAAAAAAACCACATCAAAACATGCACAGAAGCGTGTTCATATCTTTCATGTTATGGTTAAAACTTAGAACCTCATTTTCAGCGTTGTGATTAGACTCTAAAAGAATTTTCGGGACAATTTCTATGCGCCCTTTTTGATGTTCGAGCCAGATAAAAATAACCCGCGGTACCCGGAAGTCAGCGTACCGAGCTGGATTTTCATGGGTCCCGTCAGCGCGAGATACAACTGCGATAATATTTTTCCTCGATACCTGACACCCCCTCTCACCAGATGTGGACGACGCCTGCGGCACTTTATACACGCCGAAAATCAAAAGACAAAACCACTTTCACACACACCGAGCTGACTGTGCTGATCGGTAGGCGAAGATGTAACCACAAATGGTCAACCCGAGCGACCATTTTCACACCCTAAGAGGTGTCAGCATAATCACGGCGTGCCAAAAAAAACAGTCAAAACTATGAAAATTCCGGGATAAAAAACGTGTTCTCCACGTCGCTGTTCAAAACCATGCGTGCGCCATTTTCATATGTAAATAGCAGCGCGATCTACACTCTCATTGGTCCACCACACATGACCTGCACGTCACCGCAGCCTTGGGTGGGACAGCCAAATCTTACACATGGCAAAGAAAGGCTCAACCCGTCTTCACTTTCTCCGCATGCCGTGCCGCCATGTCTTTGTTTAGATATCAGTGTGAATAGCAGCCCTGTTTCAGACACGGCCGGCCTGCCGGCCTTTCCGGGGCAGTGTTCATTGTTTCCAGATGTAGCAGCGAGACCGCCTCGCTCAGTGTCCAGCATAGTTGACCAGCGTATTGCAGAGACCTTGTGTGATGATTGTCATTTCTCGTTGTCATGTTTTCACCCCGGTGCTGTCATGAGCGACGTTTCAGCGCCAGGTGATAGGGATTGTACATTACCTAACGTAGATTGTGTACACCGTTTCGGGACAATTTCTATGCGCCCTTTTTGATGTTCGAGCCAGATAAAAATAACTCGCGGTACCCGGAAGTGTGAACGCGTACTAAAGTACCCTCCAAATGCAATGTGCAGTCTTCCTATCCCCCCAGCCGGTCCCACCAGGCACGATAATGAGACGTTGATTGACGGCACATGTGGTTCACATCTGAACAGTTTCAAAGAAAGAATTTATCGAGAATGCTGACACCCCTCTGTGTGAAAGGTCAGATCAGTGGTCGAGACCTCAATGGTCCTTATACATGCAAAGGTCAAAAGTAGAGGTCCACTTTCACACTGAAAGGGGTGTCCATCGGCGGTCTAAACCCATCATTTTCACGCACTAAAACACACATACTAAAAAACCAAAACAACGTGCACCATCTACAGCCCAATAGCAAAACGTATACCAAGTCCCAGACATATCCGTCCACCCAAACGCGAGAAATGGCTGCGAACGCAATTTTCGTCTTCCCCCACAAAACCTCCGCGCACGGGATACATCCCTACCCGGAGGTAAATATGAAGAAATGAAATGAAAATGTCTATTATTTGCCATACTGTACAATACATTGTACTCTGTGTATTTATATAAAAAGTAGTCATTTGTTCAACCTTCGTGACCACATAGATTTCATAATGAAGGCAACTTTTTTATTTGCCAAACTTTGTTACTTGCACGCTCGCATCAGTTTTAATTTGGGGTTCCAATCAGTTTTGAGGTTCCCAGAGGATGTCATCCATATCAACATGGCCTCACTGCAAGATATGGCAAAATTTGTACTATTTGCCTACCATGTACTGTACATGTGTACATGTGTACTATATGGTAGTTTTTTGTTGTTATTTCCAGGAAAGATGTTCAGAAGTTCACCTATGACAGCAAGTCATTCCATATCTACATTGTTGCAAATGAGGTGAGTCATGATCAGCCTCCTTTAAAAACACAATTCTCGAGATCTTGGAATGGGAAGGTCAGATTTGTTGAAGGGAAAGTCAGATACAATGTCAGAGGCAATAATCTAATAATAGAACGGTGTAATGGAAGTGGTCTTGTGTAGTAGATGGGCATCACAAGATGCTGTGATGTCGCTCCAGCAAACTGATTGGATTAGACAGTGGTACTGGGTAAGGTGACGTGTAGATTGATTTTGCCTGTTTAAAAAGCACTACAATTATGACATTAAGTATGTTTGCTTTCCTGATACAATATGACCACAATCTTTTCAATTGCCATACATGGTGTAACTGTTACAACGCTTTGAAATTCTTATTTAGATAGAACTGGACCAGGTTCATGTACATGTAGTTGAGGAATATTACATTCAAGCTTCTTATGAATAATGCAAGTACATGTAATGTATACTTCTAGTATATTATTTTAGAAAACACAAGATTTCATCAAAATTACTCATTCCTAGAAGATGAAGATTAATTTTAATTAATAATTTTAATCCTAGCTTTGCCATTCTGTAACTTTTGAAATGTTAAACCATTCTGTATACAGAATGGCAAAGCTAGGATCAACACATCTTACCCCCATGCATGCATTTTGTGACATAAAAATCGTAAGAACAATTATTATTATTAATCAAGGACATTTCGGACATTGATTGAATTCACAGACAAGAAGCATGCGTGTAACATTGTTTGTTTGTTTTTTTTTTCAGAAGAAGCAGATTTATGACTTTCGTTGCACCACCCCAGCAGCTGTAAAACACCTCTGGAAATGTGCAGTGGAAAATCATGCCTTCTTCAGGTAAGACCTAAATTTACTGTGGACTGTTTCATTATTATTATTACTTGAAGAAGATTTTGCCTTCTCTTCCTGTTTAAGAAGACTTGAGACAGCTCACACTGACATGTGTGACCAGTGTTAGACACACCGTCTGTCTTTCCTTCATTTGATGGAATTTTGCCACTCTTGATGGACAAAAATTTTGCCCATTCCATTGTCTTTGACAGGCAAAAATTAGCAGGTTAAGACAGGGAAAGAGATGTCATGAAACTAAGTTTGCCACTCAAAAATGTAGTAGATAGCCTTTCAGAGGGTCTGAGGATATCAAAATTTTTGCAGGGGAGCTTGCCCATGGACCCTATTGTCACGTTTCAGTTATATACAATGTACATGATGCCTCGTCAAACAAAATTAAGATAATGAAAGAAATCCAGGCTGGCTAGAACACTGTGAGTGACACTAATCAGGAATTTGTCTGGAATTTTCAGTTTTGAGAAGTCCAGTGACGTGACACTTCAGCGGTCAGGTCTGGCTCGTCTGGGTTTTCTCCGCGGCAGTCGCTTCAGATTCAGGTGAGATATGTGCTCCTAATGGCCTCATTCCTAACAGTTTTCAATGAAATCCTCCAAATGCAGTAAACCTAAGGGCAGATTTATCCCATTTGTACTAAGTTCTTCAGTTAGAAAACATCCTTCAACAAGTAATCTTATCAATGAGGACCTCTGTTGAGCTTGTATCATTCCCTGCATACTGCATGTGATATATACAGTCATGTACTGCACTATCATATCTCAGCATCGTGGTGAAACTGTTGTACTATCACTAAGTGTGTCAAAGGGTCACACAGATTCTTGCATGGCCGTTTGTCTGGAACATAAAGATAACACAACAGGACTAAGCAGGGTCTGTTTTATCAGCAGAACAGAGCACTGGGAAACAATGGCTTGTGTTACTTAATAGTTTTGTTTGTCTACGAAGCTCGGACTCTTTATTGGATTCCCAGAAAGAAAGACTAACTAGAGGAATCCTCTTTTGTCAGCGGACAAAAACAGCAGCTGAAATGTGTAAATAAATCTACTTTTCTTGGAATGACTTTCATGTACCTTGTGTAACCCCAGCCAATGTTTGTGATCGCGGGAAAGCAGAAATGCAGGGCATGAAATACTTTTTTCTGCATTCGTGCACTGTTGCAGGAAACATTGAAAAAACAAGAGGTCCACGACCTTATACCTTCTGTCAAATGATATTTATTAAACCCTTCCGGTTGACGAATTATACTTTTTTTACAAGTTGATTTTGCAAAGAAGAGCCTTATTTGCATATTATTATCAGTTGATCATATTTTCCAATCTCCACCCAATGACAACCTCATCTTAACAAAAAGTTTATACTAAACTTGGACTAGCACTTCCTCATAAATGAGGTGACCGTCATAATTTGAATAAATTATGTTTATTGATGTTCACCTTCACTTAACTTCCAAATGCAAGTATGAAATTCCCAGCAGTTACTACTATGAAATTATAGCAATTTCATTAATTATGCCAATTAGGTCTTCATGTAGTTATACATAATCTATATCCTCAGATGTTTTTCTTCAATTACATGTCACAAGACTTTAAGTGTTTCCTAATCCTATTATCTAAGAGCAGATTTATTGAATTTCCTCATTAATTATGCAAATTAGCTCCTAATTTGCATAATTATCTAATTATGTCAAGCATCACTTCAGCTACGTACATACCAAAAATCACGATAATCTGTCAACCAGTTCGAGTTATCATCCTTGAAAATTTTTTCAACAAACGCTCTTGCAGTTCCAAAACAAGCCGCTGGGGGGCCCAAAGAGCTATCTACCATCCAAAATTCATGACCCTAGCATGGCTAGATCATGAGATATAAAAACCGGAAGTTCTGCTGCAGTGCCAACAAAAGCTGCCAGGGGGGCCAAAATCTGATAATTTATAGGTCTTATCAAGATCTACCCACCTACCAAGTTTCATGACAATGCATGTCTACTACTAAAGCTTCTTGAGTTATGCTGTTCACAAACAGACAAACAGACAGACAAACAGACGGACAAACAGACAGGCAAACAATAATGAAATCATAACCTTCTTGGCGAAGGTAATTATATGCGCCACTCAGACTTTGTATGTATGTAAGTATGGATCACACTAAAATCTGCTCAGAAACAATTGCCATTATGTCTTTTATACTAAGAGTTAATAGGTAGTGACAGTCAAATTGCAGCAAAAAAAAATCAACATACACAACATACACACCTACATTGCAGGTTAGGTGCAGGTAGACATCAGAAAACCTGCACAGCCCCAATTTTACCTCCACTAACCTGTACAATGTACAATGTATATGCACCCAGTATTTCGAGCCCTACTAAAATGCATTATAATGGAGGTATTTTTAGGTAATGAGTGTCCATGGCAATCAGCGTAGGCTCCCTGTACCACACAGTAATGAGGCATGATGACGGGGTTAATCAGACGGCTCGTTACATCTGAAAAAAACGAGTCATGTTTTTCCAATTGATGGCCGTCATTGCATTTAGGCCAGAGAAAGTCAATTGAGTATGTAGCCAAAGACTTCAAAACATGATGGGGAGGGGGAGAGTGAATCGAAATGAAGAACCTAGCAGTTTAAGTATTACAAAATTGCTGTAAGGTGAAAAGTGAATTAGACCTCATCCCTGCACATTGCACTGTCAGGGTTTGAAACACGTTTTATTCTCAGGTTGTCCAGTGGAAAACCCAAGCCTATAAAGCTACATTATAGGGTTGCCTTCAACACCGGCTGTTTATTTTAGAAGGCAAGCTGTAAGCCAGGTCACCTGTAAAGTATCGCTCACATGCTAGCCGTGGTGGAATACACTTTGTTTCAGAAGCTGTAAGCTGTACTGCTGTAAACTTTAATAAAAAGTTATTTTGTATGCAAAAAAAGATAACTTGCATGCTGGTGCCTGAGCCAACCTGAGACAAAAGTGCGAAGTTTCAAACCCTGTGCTGTTTACTACTCTCAGACTGTATTAGTTTGCAGCTACGTGCTGACTTGGAAGGACCTTTTCATTGATTGGGCTAAAGCAAAGGAAAAAGTGTTCGTTATCCATTTTCACTTTTGGCCATCACAGAAAGGCCTAGTGGTAAATTGTACCTTTGTCAGCTTTTCCAATTTCTTTTTTTACATGTTCATACATGTACATGTATGTCACTAAGATGACAGGTATAATGGGGATATTGCACGGCCTTTACTGAATTCTGACACAGTCCTGTTGTTGGCAATCTTGCATAAATTATATGTGATCCTTGGTACCGGTGCAGCCATTATTCCTTTAAATGTCTCTCCAAGAATATAAAAGATTCCCACAAAAGTTAACATGAATATTTCATATTTAGCTTCAATCTCCTGCCTCAGTGTTATTCTTGTGTTATTTTTACTGTATATCCTGACTGTGATAATTGAACAGTTGAGAGGCAGTGAAATACTCAGACTGGCTTCCAATATGCATTATTGAAAGATGCAAGATGCCCGAGTAAGCTCTCAATTGATATCACGTTTATTCCCGCCAGCGGTCGGACCGAGAAGGAAGTCAGCGCGGAGAGCGGGAAAATCAGCCGACAGGAGCCGCAGGTGGTCAGGTCAGAACGATATCTGTTGTTTCGCACGTTTGACAGATGATTTAGTTATAACTTTTGGCAGAGAAATGAAGATAAGTGGCTGCCTCAGGTGCTTGTAATTATGTCCAAGTAGATTTATGTTGTTCTGTGGCCATGTAACAGCTATCATGTTGTATATTATATGTGACTTTATTTTGTCATGATGAATGCTCATTGTTTCTCTCCAGTTCTGGGAAAGGGGCTTGGGATTGATCCATCAATTACAGCTCCCAGAAAAATGAGTTTGTCGTTTAATGGACCTTAAGTTTGGTATTAACCTTTTAAAACTTTGTTCTCTGAGCTTTTGAGAAACATCAATGATATCATCTATCACAAACAGTTTACATAAAATATTCATCCAGCATAATGCATTAAACGGCCGTGATGACTTTGAGAATCTTTAATGGTCAATTTAGCATCTTAATTTTGAATGTCCACTTTTGTTTTCTCTCTTGCTATAGAGGATCTTTAAAATCGTACTTAGTATGATGCATGACGTTAGCATCAACTCTCTACCTGGTACCCCAAGACCACCTTATTATCGAGGCTTTTTCAAGAATGTCTGCAACACCTGGATATCTAAAGTGTGCATACCGCAGGAATTACTAGACTGCTGCATTTATCAGTATATCCCTTGGAATTCACTGTTTTTTTAAATGTCTCAATCTTAAGGTAGGCAGCAGGATTGTGTTGATGTCATATATTATATATACATTTGTACTGTTACATGACATTTCATGACATACTAAAGGGTCACATACAATTTTAGTATTACGTGCAAAGTCCTTTCAGAAAGCATTGCAGTGAAACAATATTCTTTGAAATAGAATACATTGATTCAATTTAATTTACAATCACTTTCAACCACGGCAACTTGATTTTTATGAGAAGAAGAGTTTGGATGCAAGACATTTGTCTGTTCCACAATGTCAAGGGCTTTTTGGAGGTGACTGTCGTTGGCCTTACAAAGTTCAGGTCCATAAAAATGTTAGCGATAAAATGGTGAAATGCGTGACTTTGTATCAACATTAAGTGTTTGTGGTGCCTTCATGGTGTGACAGGAATTTATTATCATAACATGACAGTGGGATGTTTTTGGAGAAAAAAATAAATTCTGTCTGTCTCTTTCTTATAACTGTAGCCTTTTTCCTACCCTTTTTTCTACGATTTAGTGTCTTTTTGCTCAAACTCTAAGTTCTGGAAAAGCATGAAGTTAGCACTGGTGACTCACTGACAGAGTCCAATTGTTACAGGTATATTGTTATAGGTTATGATAAGTACTGTAGTTGTAGATTGTCTGTATGAAGTTTTAATGTAGAACCTCTCCACAGTTGTGCAAAAAAAGTGGGCATTAATCAATCTTTGCTGTAAGGTCAATAGAATATTCTTATATGCATGTACAGCAGCTATGCAGCTATCTCCTTTCTCTTATGATATTGCTTCAGCCTTCAGGACACTACAATGTAACGTTCAATGTAATACATTTGAAGTTATGTTCCAACTATGGGTTGTTGGCTTGGGGTCAAGAATGTCCTGCACTGTGTCCTTGAAGCAAGAATCTTTCTCATACATGTATTACTATTGGCACTGTGACAGTATTTTCTGTGTAAAGAAGTTTCCCAGACTGAGTCGTTGCCCATTTCTCCTCCTCCCAGCTAAACTAATATATTTAATAGTTTCCGATTATACATTGTAATAGGCGTGTTCTAATAATTGTCTCATATTGTCCTGGACCAAGTCCATCATCTACTGAAACGGAGGAGGCTGATGATGATGGGTTGTTGTTGGCTTTAGGGGTCAAGATGTTGTGCATTGTGTCCTTGAAGCAAAGATCTTTCTCGTAGCAGGATTTCTGTGTAAAGCCCCTGTCCCATATTCATGAATATCGAATATGGCCTCCCAAAAACAAGAACACCTCCAACATTGGTTAGGAGTACATGTAGGTTGCTGGAAAATCATCAGGGTGTTCAGCAAGGTGAGCTAGTATATTCATCTGTGCCAGGAATGTTTAAAAATGTTTGAAACAGTTCGGGTTGTTCAGTAGGTTTGACCATACATGGTTGGCTGGTATTTGGCTGTAAGTCAGCAGTACACCCGCCAATTCAGGAGTACAGTCAGCAGTGTTCTGTGCATGTTCAGGAGTCAAATTTGACTCAAATGTAACTCAAATTCATATTAATTCGTATAGAAAGGTAGGTGTGGCATAAATCTGGCCAGAATGCTCCTGACCCTGGTCAGCAGGTGTTCAGGTCAAGGTCGTGATGAATGTGTGACGGGGTTTCTCCTCCTCCCAGTTGAAAATGTGAAACGGTCCATTACAGATTATGAGACCATCAAATATGCGTAATGAAGAAGGTAAATGGCAGATATATGCCCATCAAAATTACGCTTACGCGTTACTTTGAAATTTCACAGCTGATCAAGGGTAAATGGGTGGAAAATTCAATAAACCAGTGTAGAAGTCCTTGAATGTCCTTCAGCAAGAACAGAACAACAATGTACCATGTCAATAAATGCTGAACTCATATCGACCATGCTAGCTGCTAGTCCATTATAGACGCACCCATGCTGATCATGAGTTGTCGATTCAATCTACTGTTGGCAACATCATAAACTTGATGTTTGTGGAGAATTTCTAAATGAGGCAGAAAAGTGCAAGCCATCACTGTAATCCTCAAGTTACCTAATAGTATATGGTTATGGACATTTTTATGGACAATTTTATGTTGTAATGTTGTACTTTATCATTTGAAATGTCACACTCGTGGAAGGATTTTCTGTGATCATATTAGTAAAGGACTGCATTAACCTTGATTCTAATATTAAGCATTCTGCAAGTGGTTTAATGATTGTAGACCATGCCTACATGTATATCTCAAAGGCATCCAATGCAATTTCAGTGCTGATAGTGATATCTACTGCCATTTCTTAGGATCATAAGTTCATACTTGAAGCATTTGAAATAGCCCAAAACAACCTTCATGTATGTAAAGGGGTCCCTTTATTTTTTGGGTACTGCAAATGAATAGCTAGAACCAGCCTATGATGCAAAACAAGCAACCGTTTTGTCAGCAATGTTGCATTTTTGTCTCACAGATATTAGCATGCTATCAGGGGTAGGATTGATTCATCAAACTTAGTTGTAAATTGACTTTGAAAATCTAGTATTGCCACCCTAAAATTGCATTGGGTGCGTTTAGGAAGAGTAGTCAAGTTGTCTACATTGATTCAAATCTCTTTGCCTTAAAACCTGCCTGAATTGATGAAGTTATTTCAATTGTTTCCACTGCTATACATGTGTACATTGTATATCTACTGCTTTTGAAGATACAAGTACTTATATCGGAGTCAATTCTTCATGACCAGTTTTAGTTAGTCATGAGATCTGAGACCTCAGAAAATATCAATTACATGTACCTAATCCATACACCAGCTGTGGGTTATTACACAACTGACACTTCCAGCATTGATTCTAATTCTTTTCCCACTCCATATGACCTCTACTTTAGGCCACATATTACACTCTTCTGGCTGCCTCCATTGGATATTGATTTTCAAAAAGCCATGTTATATTGTATTCTGTCAGAGGAAACCCAAGATGGATGGTGTTGGATGTACCGAGGAAATTTTATCCTGTTTCTTGTCAATTTCACAGATGGATGAACTTGCATTTTCACTTCTTAGACTCCAACCTTTTCAGCGCAGACTTCAAGCAGAATACATAATCATGACATACTGAAAATACAAATGTACACACACCTTTGTTAACTCCAGGAGATTCACAGCTCTAGTTCAGTCTTTGTATAGCAAAGTTTTATATTATCTTAATAATATATCCTCCAAACGTAACAAAATCATGTAATGTGAATGTACATGTACAATTGTTGATGCTTCTAAAGTATGCCATGCATAATTTTGCTTGGACCACACCAATTTAATTTGTTGGTTCTCGGATTTGCCTCTTCATTTTTTTCTGATTTGAAAAAAAAAAGATGATTCTGGTTCTGAATCAACTCAAATATGGTCATAATTTGCCCCCAACAGTTGAGGAAAGTCCATTTCTTCCTACTTGTTACAGTTTTTTCATCTATCAATGCAGTGGTTTGATAGAAAGTTCAAAAATCATTGTTTAAATATTAGCCCAGCCTTTTGTGTTGAGTTCATGGCTCCTATCGTTGCATTTGGGGCTATGATAGGAGATTGCCTAGACCTGTTGTTTTTTTTCGCCCTGTCGCTTCATATTTTTTCTGCAAAAATCCGAGAATCAACAAATTAAATTGGTGTGGCCTTAACATCATGTCCAGCACCGAATTCTAGGGGGATCCTCTGTGAAAATTTTGTTGAAATCTTGGAACGCTATTTCCTGAGTGGCAATTTTTGCTAGTAGACTGAGCTTACTTAAATGACATCTTCCACACTGTGTAATTTTTTTATCTTACCATGCCAATTTTTTCCGGCAAAGATGACAGACTGGGCAAAGTTTCTGTCCATCCTTAGCAGCAGAATTCCATCAAATGACGGAAAGATGGACGCTGGCTAGAACACTGTGAAGGTGGATGACTTTGACAACCTTGGGTGTCAGTGAATGTTATAGTGATTTGAACAACAAAGCCTCCGTGTAGAACGCTGTAAATCAGAGCTTCGGAAATGGTGCAGTGGAAATGGATTGCACAGACTTTATCAACTTGTCGGGATGCCAGCTTCTGAATAGGAGATTAGCAGAGAAGCAAGATTAACATTTCTTTACACGTCAGACCTTCTTGAATCTATGCTGATTTTAGTTTTCGTGCAAAAGACAGGTTTATCTTTATGTAATAAATTATGTAACATTTTTGCCACCAAAAATTGAAACTTATTGAAAATTGAAAATATTTGTGTAATCATTGTAATTTAATTTTCAGCATATTTGTGTCTCACATTACATTATAATGTCATTACTGGTGGTTGCTAAAACAGCCCACCGGCAGCTGTACAAAATGTAT